TGTAATCTGAAATTCTTCCACTGAGAAAATCAGAATGACAAGTAAGGAAACCGCTTGTGGACCTCAGAGCCAGGTTTTAAACAGTGACAAAGTAATTCCTGTGCTAACACTGCCACCCATTGAAAAACAGGAGACACAGTCATCGTATATATTCCTGTTTTCATCTCTTCCTCTTTGGTACTTGCTGCAATGCTTTCATGTATATTTTCTCCTCACTGCTGTCTTTAATGTGTTATCAGGGAGCCCTAGAGCAATGTGATCCAGTACAAAGGCATAGCATGTATAGGTGTAAGTATCATGAAAGTACATACAGAGCCCTGAACAAACTCAACAGAATTCTTCACTAGGTGGGATTTTCCCTCCACCTTGGGAGAGCTGCACCTTTGTTATTCTCTTCCTCTGACCTCTTGCTATTTTCTGTGGGGTTCTTGTAGTTTTTTACCTCCTGTCACAAATTTTAAGATCAAACCACATGACTGCTTTTTGCTTGACATGGATTCCTCATCTTGTGGTGGTGTTGTGGTGGTTTCCCCTCCATGCAGCCTATGCCTGTTTCCTTGATTTGGTTGTGAGAAGTTCCCTTATCTGCAAGTTTCTCTGGTTCCATAACTTCCTCCCTGAATCGAGCTTTTACCTTTACCATTTATCAATTTCATAAATATTCCTGTCACAAATTACTAGCATCCGTATCATACAATACCCATTAGTAGTCAAAATACAATTTAACGATACATTCCCTTGAACGAATATTTGATATTCTTTATTACCACCTGTGTTTCCCAGAAGTTACCCCTGTACCTTCTGTAAATGAGATAATCATAGAATCATAGAATTTAAAGGTTGGAATGGACCTCACAGATCATCTAGTCCCAACACTCCCTGCCATGGGCAGGGACACCTCCTCACTACATCAGGACTGGGTTTGGAACTCGCCCGGGGTGGGGGCAGCCACCACATCCCTGGGCAACCTGTGCCAGTGTCTCACCACTCTTATAGCAAAAAACTTTATTCTAATATCTAACCTGAACTTCCTCTCCTTCAATTTGAATCCATTACCCCTTGTCCTATCACTGCAGTTCCTTACACAGAGTCCCTCTCTGGCTCCTTGTAGGCCCATCAGATATTGAAAAGTTGCTCTGAGGTCTCCACACAGTCTTCTCATCTCCAGGCTGTACAGCCCCAACTCCCTCAGCCTGTCTTCATAGGGGAGATGCTCCAGTCCTCTTAGCAACTTCATGGCCTCCTCTGGACTTGCTCCAACAGTTCCATGTCCTTCTTATGATGAGGGCACTAGAACTGCACACAGTATTCCAGGTGGGTCTCATGAGAGCAGAGGGGAAGAATCACCTCTTTTGACCTGCTGCCCACACTCCTTTGGATGCAGCCCAGGATTCCATTGGCTTTCTGTGCTGCTAGTGCACACTGCAGCTCATGGAGAGCTTCTCATCCACTGTCACTCCTTTCCTGATTCACCTTTTGCTGTACAGTCCTGCTCCTGCTGTCAGTTTTTGGTCGGTCATTTTCATTAGTTAAACCAAGATGAGGTACATGAGGGATATAAGGCTGACCTTGGGTCACCAAAAAGATGCAAAGAGACCTTTTTGTGAACTTTGAAAGATGAATTAGGATGTTTTTTAAAGACATCTGTTATACAAGGTACTTTAAAATGATGGTCCTCCTCTTTTCCAACTAGTAAAATTACTCTCTCTCCTCAATTAGCAAAAACCCAATCTTGCCTATAACTAAATAAGGAGTAAACTCCTTTCTTTTAATTTTTTTTCACTCATAATTTTGGTTTCTGGAAACTGGAATTAACTCTGCATTTCTACTGAGAAACCTCATATAAATTATGTCTTTCTGTTCCATATAGATCCTATGGTTTCATTAAGTGACTGCATCTTCTGTACAGCTGGAGATGAAAAACTTTCAGGGATGATACAGATGGAAAGGTCATTAAGAGAACTACAGAAATCCATCTGCAAATCTCACTTTGTAAAGGCTTTATGTAACAGCTCAATTTCACTGAGATGGTATTGAATAACAGGCTGCGTGCTGGAAGTCTTCTAATGCTTTCCAAAGCCTGGATTTATGGATAGGGGGATAAATCATTGCATTGGCTATAGTCTGATGGATGAAGAGTGGAGAGTTCTAGAGACTGGCAATTTATTAAATATGGATGCTGTTATGGATTCTTTCAAACTGAAGTAAACAGCTCAAAGAGTGATTTATTCTGCATTTACAATCAGTTTTATTCTGAAACAACCAGTTTCAGAAATGAGCAAGTGAATACAGCTGTCTCCAGAATTTCTTGAAAAATTTAAGGAGTAAGCATTTTTCAAAATAAATAGCATAAGGAAAAAAGTGTGATTAGAAAGGTGATAAAATATTGTTTTATAGCTTTAGTTTGGACTTATCATGAAATATCTTGACCTTTGTGAGCGATTGAACTGTTTCACAAGACAAAAGTGTAGGAGCTGTGTAATCAGTTTCTGAGCTCTCCAGTTACCCAACCAATGGAAAGTTCTCCCAGTCCAATGCTCTCTCTGTCCTCTCATGATCTGAGGTTGTAGAACTTCTTTGCAGTTCTTCCCACAATTCTGGCAATCTAAGATACGCTTGGTTTATCTAATTCTTCACCTTATTTACTAATAATACGTGATAAAGGAATAAGCTGTAGCAATTTCAGCACTAGGCTTGAACAGCACAAAATCAAAAAAATCGAAGTGGCAACAGCACAATTTACACAACTTCATTGTTGGGCTTCACTGTATTTGAGAAACGTGTAAGTACAGGTATCTTTGCTTTGATTACACTTCACGGAAGTGTTATCACTTACAACTGCTTAAGATACAAGAGTTGCAACATTTTTTTCCTACGCATCTTGATGAGAAGTTGATCATTCATAACTGTTTGTGCTCTTACATTGTTCTTCTTCCCTTACTGCTCTACAGAGATGTATGTGAATTTTTTCTACGTAATTTTGTATGCAATGTTCTTGGGACAATGGCACTTCCAGGACTTATGGTGAATACCTAAGCACAACACTTGAACACAGAATTTTGAATTACTTGCAGGAATGAAAATAAAGTTTCCTGGTTATATCCTATTAGCCCAAGCTCACAATATGTTACTTAAATTTGCATAGACTCCCTGGCTTATTGTCAGTGGATGAATTTATGAGGCTTTTCACCATAGGCAAAGATACCACTGTTTTACCTACTTGCAAAATATTATTCCACCCATTCCTCAAACACCCATAGACTAAAGCAAACTGTAAATTTAACTTCTAGGCAGCACTAGCCATGGAATTAAATAGTTATTTTCAAATGTCTCCTAAACAATGTTTATGGAATTTGAGTAACTGCTCTCTGCTGAAGTGCAGCTCTTGAACATGTTTGAGCCTGGGACTTCAGAACAGGAAGAACTGAAGCTGTGTGTCACCTCCAGCAGAAAAAATAATGCTGATGGGCTTAGTCATAGGAATCCTTATAGGACAGGTCTGGCCCTGGGTGTGTTACTTTGTTTTTTAATACATGTAGCTTCTATTCCTAACTGAAGCAATCAGAAACTTTTAACAGATTTTAGTAAGATTGAATTTCTGGTATCTCATTACCATCTGGTCAATGAAGCACATAATGCTTTGAAAACAAAAATAAATTAATTCTCTAAGAATAGTGCTGATTAATAAAAAATGCACCTCCAGCAATCCCTGCTATTGAAGGCACCATATTTAAGGAACTACGTCTTTAGAAGCAGGAGCTAACTTTAAAAAGGCATGACACAAAATTTTAAAGACTTTTGGAACAGTCTAGATTATTGTCACAAGTTTGTACCATTCTTCTAGCATCAAAGACAGTCCAGGTACATAGCCTTTTCCTTTGCTTTTTGACTGACCAGGAGGAATCAATAAATTGAGATACTGAACTAAAGGAACTAGCAGAACTAGAAAACAACTGAAACTATTGGCAAGGACCTCTCCCCATAGCTGGATCCCAAGAACTGTTACCTGCACAGGCTTGTGTGAAGCTGGCATTAGAAGATGCATCTTTATGATTGCTTGGACATTTAAATAAAGCTATAAATGCTAAGAAATAGACCTGCCATCTCATGCACCTGCCTTTGAAGTGGAATTGCTCTATTTATTATTCCTGCACCATCACACCTATAGAGATGTGAACTGTGAAAACCATGGACTAAATAAAGTGGAAAGAAGGAAAGAGCACTGGAGAAACTGAAAAGTAACTAAGTAGTTTATTCCTTGCCTCAGGACACACTCATGTACAAAGCAATTACTCAAGTGTTATTAAACAGAAGCAACCATAGGCACTTTTATTTCCAGTCTCCTCTAAATTTCTGTTGGTGAAAATACAAGCCTTAAGTTTCAAAACAACCCAAATCAGGAAATAAGTTACATTTAGGAGGAGTCATATTTGGCAACATATTTATCACTAGATTAATACAATTTTATAGTGAGTTTAGATAGTCCTGTTCACTTACATTAGTTTTGAACATATATATTCAATATATTTGGTAAGCTGGAAACAACAGAATGTGAACACCAAGGCAAAACTACCAAAGAAGGATACAGAGGAAAAGATCAGCAGCTCCTTATTAGGCTCACCACTAACATTAATATTGAATACAGAAGCCTTTGATTCCTTTTTTAGGAATCAAAGTATTACTTTGAGGAGTTATAAACAACTACTGAAAGCAGTTATTTTACAATTCCAAATTTCTTGGGGAAAAAAGGCTGATACATATTTCTATTAATCATAGTATTGATCCATACAGATAACGGGTTCTGATTTGCATACTAAAAATTATTTCATCAGATGACAAAAAAAAAAAAACCCAAACCCCAACAAAAGACCATGAAACTCTTAGCTTCTAGAAATGGAACTATAATATATACATTTCTCACATTCTTATGGGACTTCTGCAATTTACTGGAAAGCTGGGAGATCCATGTTCTTCTGCCTTCTGTATAAAACTTCTAGATTTCACTGCCAAACTCCTGTTCGCTGCTGTTTATCACTACCATGCTCAAAAAACATGAAGTCCTGAGGGGGAAACAAAAAGCAAACAAAGTAAGTACTTCTTAAATGTGGTTCTTAGTTCAGAGATCTCTTGGCTGCTTTGCAAAGCATCTTCCTCTCCAAAACCTCAAATGATGAGAAGAAATTGGGGGCACCTTTTGTTATGCACCCCCATCACCTGCATCTCTCAGAATGGGACATCCACAGAGAGAGAAAGAGATAGTGAAAGACCAACTTTTAATTATCAATAGCCAAATTAATCACTAGCAGTCCCTTTACTCAGAATTCCTCCCCTGGCTTTATTCAACTTGACTCAGTCCCTTCCATTTTCCCTCAAACTGGAGTTCTAAGTAATAATAATTACTACCTTTAGTTTACACGTGGGATCCCCATTTTCTGTGCTGGAGACCTGGGCTGCTCACACTCACTAACGCTGTACTTCATGTACATGGGAACACACAAACACACACAGCTAAGCAAAACCTGTCTCATGCACAGGGCTGTTAGAGCTGGTAAGACCCTTCCAAATTCAAGGTGCTTCATATACCCCTTTTGTGCCCCTCCACAGCCCTGCCAGAAGCAGTGCTCATTTTGAAATGATACCTGATGCAGAATTGCACACTTAAGTGGAAACATCAAAGTGAGCTGTACTGCAGTATTGACATTGCAGAGTCTGAGTGCAGCTGAGAAGTACTCTAACAAGTTCAATGTGCTTAGCCTCCACAGAAATCCCTCCATTTGGAAATGACTCCTCTGAGAGTGTTTAATCCTGCCCACCTCAGTGCTTCACATGCTTCCAAGAAGGAGAGTGGAGAGGAACTGGCTGCAGCATTCAGCTGTCCATCAGCTCAGTAGGCTTCTCTGGCTTTGGATGGGTCTCAGACACTGCTGATAGGCATTTGTCTGATTTCAAATAAACTTGCTTTCCTCTTGCTTTTCTGCTAATGAGTCTGTAAATTTTCCCTTTACAGCGTTTTTCAATCCCATCATACACAAAGTTCTTCTTAAATACAATCAGCACTTAGTGTAGCCTAGAACAAGTTTATTATCTTAAATAATTCTTTGCAGCCTTTTGTGGTCCATTTTACACACCGAAGTACACAAGCTGTTGCCCACTTGAAGGAGCTCAAAATCAAAACCTTTACCAGCCCAATCTGAACACAGAGATGAAAAGGTCAGCTCATATTCAAATATTAGTGAATGACAAACTTACAATAAGGAAGCAAGCACCAATCATGACAGCTTTTATTTTCACATCCAGGTCCATTGGAAATTTGATTCCAAAGTTATCTGCATCTGTAAAGGCTTCTTTCACAAACCCAGTCCACTGCTTAGAAATCTTCCCAATAGTAGCAGTCTCATCCAAAGTCTTCACCTAGTTCAATATAAAATTAAAAAAATGACATGAAATCTGTTATTCATAATATTCCCAAATCCATTTCAGGATAGATCCATTTGAAAGCTACAGATTGCATTATCTGAACTAATGCAGTTTTTGAATGCAAGCGTTTGTACCAAAAAACAGTCAGACTATCATAAAGTCAGTCTTAAGTAGCACAGACATTAACTTAATTCTGAATTTGGCTGTGGTGTTCAATGCTTTAATGGTGTTGGGAGACACCCACTGCATGCACACACACACACAGTGCTGGAAGTGTTGTCTTTCAGCCAAGAGAGTGGTTAGTTTCTCTGCCATGTATCACCAACTGCTCAAGTGAAATTAAACAAATTACATTCTTCTGTTCCAAAGCAGACATTAGCCTTTTGTCAACATTATGTTTCCTAAACTTAGATCCAGTCTTCTGGGTCATGTGAAAGACAAGTACCTAATATAAAATTATACTAAATTTGCAACATAATTTTAAATCTTAAATGGTAGACTAGTGTATCTACTACGTAATGCATAAACAATGTCACATTAATCACTATTAATTTAAAGTCAAAGTTGTAACTCTTCAGTCATTCAACTCTGTATTTTAGATCTAAATTATCTTGATTTACTAGTTCTTTGAATGATTATTAAATTGTTAAATAAGTAGATGTAGGAAGTAATTTTAATAAATACCAGATACAGCTGAAAATATTTTTTGTTAGTGCCTAACATAATAGATTCAAAAAGATTTTACTGCAAACTATTTCATGCAAGTGACTTGTGTGCAGCCAGAGGAAATAATTTGCACTGATCACTGAAGAGTGGCTTAAGATGTCATTTCTAGAAGTTTGTCTGGCTTGAGTTGATTATACCAGCATTAAAAGATTATGTACTAGTTACTTAATATATACTGCAGTTCAGTTGACAAGCAATAAATTGAGCAACAAACTACCACCAAACTACCATCTGAAAGCAGATACACGCAAACAAGTTTTAGCATCACATACCTCAAAATTAACATCCTCACAACAGCTGCAGACAACACATGGGCCAGTAATTTTCAGTACATCCATTCTTCTCTCATCTTGAACGGTAAACCTTGGCAAGCAGGCATGCCAGTTCTGGACAACATAACCAACTGTTGTTCCTGGAGGTGCCTGAACTTCCACCTTCATAGGAAAGAGAAAAATCTCCAAGTCAATGTTCTTTCCTTGATATGCTTGTGAGACAAAAGCCACACCAGCACACAAAAGAAACACAGCTTATTTTTCCACAACACTGTGGCCTTCTGATGCATGAAGCTGCATGGGGTTTGTTGTGAGGGTTTTCAGAAGACTGCAGACCTCATATATACCTTTTACCTTCACTCCTCAGGCTGTGGAGCACACAAGCTTTGCATCTACATTAAAAGATCAAAGTCCAGTGAAAGAAAGGCAGTGAGCATCTTGAAAGCATTCAGTGAACATCATAGAGTGCAGCTACTACAAAGCCCTCAATAAGAGCTCTGAGTAGGCTCAAATTTAAATTGTCAGACATTGCATCATTCCAGAATTATGCTAATATTAAAAAAACTCCTTGTCTCGTGTTGAATTTCACTATAGCTTTCACAGCAGTAAAATGAAAAGTCTGTTATTTTATGAAAGCCACTGCCTTATCCTTCCATTCCAAGTCCATCTCCAGTGCAGATTTCAGCACTACCCACACGTTCCCTGACATGTTGTTGAATCAGATTTTTCATTACTGTAATCAGAAGTGGCCAGAGTGAGTCCAAGTGTTGTGGCACACTTGCTTCTTCCCAGACCCAGGACCCCACACACAAATCCCACATATCTCCCTTCCCACAACTTACAGGCAAAACCTGACTTGTTTCACCTTGCCTCTTGATTCAAAACAACCTCATCCAAAAACTGCACAGGAGGTCCATGTCTCATGTGAAGGAAGGCAGTGAGAGGCAGCAACTCACCTCCTGTAAACAGCAGGGACAGCAGCATGAAGAACAGCGGAGAGGTCTCTGCAGTGTTATCACCTCATGGCCCAGGTTGTCTATAATCCGGATGGTGAAGGGTCGTGAAGGTCCACAGCAAACCCTGGTAAGGCAGTCAGTGTCCTCTGCTGCAAAGTACACCCTTTGCCCCAGTGCATTCTTGATTTCATATTTGTTGCTTGTTTCAAAACCAACCAAAACTGAAAAATAGGAAAAGAACTGTTAAATTCCTGAGGTTTGTCTGGCCAGAAACACCCTGCCCCTCGCTAACTCTACAGCTACCCTTTAGGGAGGCAAGCATCACTCAAAGTCTATCAGAGGCAGCTACTGGCAAAGGGAAGTGGTGAGAAAGGACCCTCAAGCAGAGAAGCCTGACAGAGAGGTTCAGAGAGAAGACACCATGAACACGCAGAGGAGCGTGGAGATTTCAGTCAGTCTCCAGTGCCCTCCCACGAGACATGGACACCTGTTGCCACAGCAAGCACCACAATTACCAATAACACAGCACAGAAGGTTCTCAGGGAAGAGCTGAACGGATGAGAATTAAAAAGACTTGTGAATTTGGGTGTGAAGCCAGAAAAGGGCACAAATGCACCCAGAATGAGAAGGCCACAAAAAAACCTTGTAGTCAAGAATCACAGGAGCACACACAGAAAGCAACAAGAGCCAGGACAGAAATTGTAAGTAATTTCTATAACAAATGAAAGCACTCTTAAGTTTTATGGAAAGAAAATGCAGCAACATTAGGTGTCAGCTGAGATGTATGGTCCACTTCATTTCTTCCATTGCAAAGACACTGATAAGACAACTTTGATATTCTTAAAGTGAATGGAATGAGGAGAGCAGAAGAAAAGCCATTCAATTTGCTAAAACAGCAGAATTGCCTGGAAACAGGATCAGAGCCACATGTCAGAAGATGGAATTAGGTGAGATATGACAGGACAGAAAGATCTTTAAGTAGTGAAGAGAGGAAAGTAGAAATCATTGTGAATGAATAACATTGGAAATGGTGTGACTTATCTACAATTAGCTACCAAGATTATTCTGTTGCATTGCTGTGTATCTTTTGAGATACAGAACCTGCTCAAAATCCAATTCCCTCCTATTTTCTCCTTTCTGTCCTCCACAACTTCTGCAGGAATCGAGACAGGTAATAGAAGCAGGAAAGAGAAATGTGATGATCCACCTCAAATACATAGTGTCAAAGAAAGTCTAAACTTTATTGTTCTTTGGATTATTAGATTTAAATACTTTATACTTACTCTCAAGAAGTTCAAGCTGCTGATGAATTAATATCTGGTCAATCTGTTCATGGTTGAAAAATTAAACATAATAAATAATTAACAAGTTGTAACTAAGAGAAATATTGTTTTAAGAACCATTTGTGTTTCATTTCAGAATGAAGATTTATGGATCAATACATTGTCTAGAGGCAGATCATCTACCAGTAGGTCTGTAGGAGTAGCTCACTCCCTTCCTTGTCCTGTCCTCTGCCAGTTTAGCAGAACAGTGCTCCAGAGCACTGGAGAAGATGGCAATAGCTGTATCCAAGCTGCTCTGGTTGCAACCATGCAGGGCTAATGTGCCTGTGCCTCTTTGAGAACTCAGAGCCTGACAGAGCTCTGACATCATGTGTCCCACAGTCTCCATGTAGACAGAAGTAGGAAACTGATACATTTTAGAGGAGAAGCTCAGCTACTGCTCAGCTGAGAGAAATTCATGGAAAATCAGCCTCTTCTCAGCAGTGTTTAATTTCTTTTGTAGCAATTTGCAAAACTGACAAAAATACGTCAATGTTAAGCCTCCCAGTAATGAAATAAACTGTGTTTTACAGTACAAGGACATATTCTGTAATGTGGAAATAATTCTTATTTTGCTATTAGCATTCTCTATGTTGTGAAGTTTGACATTCTACTAACAACATTATGAAGAGGTGTGAAGAAAGCATCATGTAGAAAATTAAGCATCTCTAAATGTGCTACAGTTGCCCATATTATAGATATTTATCATATACACCAAATCACATTACATCTCACGAACAGTAGCTTCAGAAATGGGAAGGATGTACAACAGTCCTGTGTCCCTCGTCCTTTAGCATCTTACTTGGCAGGAGGGTACTGCATGAACAAGTGCTGCAGCCATAACAGGCACCTCTGCACTCAGACATGCATCAATCACATTACAAAAGGCTTCACTTAGCAGCCCAAATGCAGCAACCCATGCAACTGCAACAGCCAAATGCATTACTTAGCTTTTTCATGAGCTGGGCTGCTTCTCAGCTGAATACCTGATACGTGGGGAAGGAGAAAGGATGCAAGTACCTGTGTGAGGTATTCCAGTCCAGGAGGGCAGTTGGGAATAGGAGGAGGGATAGGCATCCAGATTGGCCCCTGCATCATGACGGGCTGGTTCTGGACAGGTGGAACAGCAAATCCACCTGGGACTCCCATGGGCTGTGCCTGGAAGCCATAGTTCCCTGAGCCTGTGACATTTGGAATGGTGGAAAGGTACAGTTATAAAAGTTAGGCGTTGAAAAAGAATTGCTCCATCCATCTTCAAAAAATTAATTTATTCACTATTTTGAACTATGGAGATCCTTATACCTTATACATTTCAGTTATGAATACAATTTTCATGAAGGAAGTTACCCTGGACTGGAAGGTTCTAATACCTCAGACAAAACCAAACCAAATAGTAGAGAAGATAGAATGTTTTCATTGCATGAGAAGCACTGGCATTTAGAAGTCATCAGATAAGCAAATGAGGAATTTTAAGACAAAGTTTTTCTGGAATTATACCTTCTACTTACATGATAGGAAATGTCCTTTTAGCAAAGTTCATCTGCAGTTTTCAAACCAGATGAGTGTGACCTAAAAACTGCACTTTCCCATTTGTTTAATGGATTCTCCATCAAAACCCAGGAAATCCCTAACCTCCTTCACAGAGGAGGTGTGTTGTAAAGGAGGAAACAGTTCCACGTTTTGTGCATGCCAAGTACATCTTCTCCAGTTGGTGCTGAATTGGAAACACAAGCTCTCATGGAGCACTGCAGGGTCTAAGTGCTCAGCACCCCAGCAGATGGCACAGGCAGCACTGACTTGGTGTCACAGCCCAGTCCCCATCCCTGCTGGGCACAGAGCTCTGCCTTCCTTCCATCAGCACCACTTTTGTCACTGAAGCTGAGGAAGTTCACATTTAAAGAACTGTATTTTTGCCCCTCATTTAATACCTTCCTGGTAGGCAGATAGACTTTCAGACTTAGAGGAATTTTATCTTTTGCTCAGAAGCAAACACAATGCAGAAGGCACAAAAAGTATTTTTTTAGAGCTGTACAAATAGTTTGAGATACTGACTTGTAGACTTATCTTTAGTCCACACCAGCTCAGCATCAATGCTTCACATGACATTACAATACATGGACCAGTCCATGTGAAAGACCAGGCTGTAGCCATAAGCAGGCCAGTACCTCAGGTGATGTAAACAGCTGTGGCTAAAAATTCATAGGTGGCTGGATCACCCACCCCAGAGAAGAATCCACTCTGTGAATACAAAATCACTTTCATGTCTGAGCACAGGTGTTGCACACAAACTATCCACTGGTATTGTGTGTGTGTGTGTACACATACAATTGTTCAAAATAAAAATGCTCCCATGACCTCCATGACACAGTCAGCATGTGCTCATTCACCACTGAAGCCACCTGTACTTACAGACCTCAGATTGCCTTGTCACGAGATGCACAAGCTTTAATTTATGAACAGCATAGTAACTTCAGCCAAACGTTTTGCATTTCTTCTATAACTTATGCTTTGACCCTGATTGTTAGATATTGCTCATTGTGATTTGGTTCTTCAGAAAGCAGTTGTTGCCAGAATGAGGGAAGCTGCTTAGGAGTGCTGCATTTTGAATTTGGAACAGAAAATAAGATTAAAAAGGAGCAAAGGAAGTGAGGCAAAGTGTTAAGGCCATTCTCCCCTATAACCACATGCAAAGTACAGCAACAGAGTCAAACAGAAACAGAATACATGGAACTTGCAGAACAGCAAGAAGAAAACAACTCTTTTTTCAGTTCTGTATTTCTAGAGCAAAATGATCTGAACCACTGAAAAAACGTGATAATTAGAAAACCTGATCATCAGCAAGAAGCTGCCACACATTAACTGCTTTTCATCAGTAATACCTCTGTAGCAAACTACCCACAGTGACCGCTGAGGAACATCTGACACTTTTAACTCCTACCACTGCTGGTACTGCTCAGCACATACTAATATGTAACCCCAAGAAGGCAATAAATGACTTTTCAGCAAAATAGAAATGAAAAGAAACTCTACAGAATTAACAGCTGAAAAGCAAATCAGAGATGATCAGCCTTGTACAACCTCATATTTCCCCCACTTATGTGCTAATGGTATTGCAGATCTGTAACCAAGCAACTTACCTTGGTAAGGCCCAGGGACATGCTGAGGGGGGCCATAGGGGACTTGGTTTTCTGGAATATAGTTAGAAAATCCAGGTGCTGGGGCAGGTTGACTTCCTGGAAGAATGGAACATATGCTCTGAGTATTGCTCATTTCCTCCTTACCTAGGGTGAAAGATCCCCAACACTGCCTCCTTTTCCAGCATACACACAGAACAAAATTAGGCAACTGTTTTCTGTATGGCAAAAACTGTACATCAAGCTTGTATTTATGAACAATGTGTATATTAAACATCAGTGTGACTCAAAGGAGTTCTGGTCCTTAAAGGGTAGTAGAAAATGAAGATGTCATAAAAATGTCACAGAATCATTCAGCCCAGAAGGGACTTCTTGTGATCATATAGTCCAAGCTCTGCTCAAGCAGGGTCAGTTCACTCTCTGTCTGGACCAGTGGTGCCTTTGTTCATTTATGTTTAGAAGAAGGTTTTAATTCAAAGCACTGCCAGGGAACTGACAGGCTGCCCTCTAGTACAGAACATGGTAATGAGCCATCTCCCCTTCAAGTTAGGACTACACTAATGCCTCACCAGCAGACTGAAAGGGTTATGAATGTAAAAATCATTTTTAAGCAGAAGAAAAAGTTTTTAAGCAGAAATAACTTGAATTCCAGGGTTAGTTATTTATTGATTTTAACTTCAGAAATCAAGACCTGAAAATGTAAGTCGCATGTTTTGCAAAATACTCAATTTTCAAATTTAAATAATTTCAACTTAAAACATTTTATATTTTATAACATTTTATATTTTTATTTTCTAAAATAAGAAAGCAAACTAATATGTAAGCTAATAGTCTTTGAACACCTCAGAAAGACCTATGTGATCTCTGATGTTAGAAAAGATGAAGTTTTGTTTATATTCTACTCACCATGCATCACTGTGGATCTGCTTACAGTTGTTCTGCAAAAGAACATTTTTATTTCATTAATTTCTTTCATATATAATTTCACACAAGAGTTATTCAGAGTTCTCTAATTATTATTGATAAAAGATATTTTCCTGTCTAAACCACATGGGAAAGCTGAGTTACAAATAAAAGGTAAATTAAGTTAAAATATCTCAGCTTCCTTTTAGGCTATGACTCCCACCACCACGTAAATCTGAATTATCTTTCTACTTTTCCAGGATGCCAAAAGGAGTTAAAAATCTCAAACCAAACAACAAAACCCACATTAAAAAAAAAAAAACCAGAAAGAACATTTACTGATGCCAGCATTGGCTGTGAGAGACACTTAAGTAATAGGGTAATGAGAGAAGCAAGACAACAGCAACAACTGCTATTACAGAGGTCCAAAACAAAAACAAAAAAAAGAATGGTATAGGCACTCCTTTTTAATAGGATCAAAAGCTTTAAAATAAAAAAGAAACCTAGTCTTTAAAAATAATCCAGTTCAAGTTAAACTAGTAATACATTTTGCCTGTTATTGTTCTTCCAACTACTTCAGTTCAAAGCTGGAAATGAAACCGAAACTGAAAGGAAGTTCCTCCTTGCTTTGCATTCACAGAGTAAAATGTTTCTGAGATGACATGGAACCTAGTTCACTTCGCAACTAGTACACAACATCCTCTTTGTTTAATAAATTGCTCTTAAAGTGTTCCTTATTCAATATATTTTTTTCTTCTACTTTACTAACTTTACTAACAAAACCACTATCCTGTTTCACATACTAATTGGATTCTGGTCCTCATATGAATGCAGGTTAAAGAAAAGGTAATGGAAATTATTTAAAATTATCCACCTAATTTCAAAATCTGAAATAACACATTCAAACTACATAACTTAAACCTTGTTCTCACAGTTGATAATACAGCATGACAAGTTTAATATACGACTATGTTAAAATATGCTGACAGAACTATCTGCTTGTAGGACTAGAACAAATTAAAGAAGAATAAAAATTGTTATTTCAACCAGTAAAACATCAATTTATACTGTGAGATGTTCCGGTTACCTGAACTTCTGTGAAATGCTGATAATTAAAACTAAACCCTTTGGTAAAGGGAGAGTAGAGACAGAATCATATGATTTATTTAAAAGAAAGGCTTTATTGTAGTCCAGAATCTTTCATTGTCCCTACAACCACACATATGCCCCTGTACTATCTAGGATTTAGAAAACCTTGATAGGCTCTATGACTAGAAAAGCAACAAAGATTTCACACAGCTCAGCCCCCATTTCATCATACATGATGCTAAAGAGAATAGTTAAGAACAATTTTTTAATTAAAATTGTCTCTATTCTACTACTGGGTTTTATGTAGACTCCTTCTATTACCTCCAATTCAGTCACCAAGATTAACATTGTCAATTATACCTTGCTTTTCATCTGGATACTTTATAAAGATTGTGCAAGAACATAAAAATCTGGGACACCACAGGAATGAGGAACAAAAACTCAGTTTTGTCAGCTTTTATATTGCACAATATATATCAGTCAGCCACATTGTTACACAGGGTGAAATTCTCACCTAGCAAAACTTCAATCAAGAAGCAGCAGTAACAGGAAGACCTGTCACTTAGAAATGTGTTCATAGCATCATAGAATCCCCTGAGCTGCAAGGGATCCACTAGGATCATCAACATCCAACTCTTGGTGCTGCACAGGACAGCCCCAAGAATCACCCCATGTGCCTGAGAGCATTGTCCAAACACCTTTTGAACTCTGGCAGGTTGGTGCTGTGACAGCTTCCCCAGGGAGCCTGTTCCAGTGTTGGTTCCACCTGCCCTAGGTTACACAAAGCAGTGAATTGAAGCCTACATTTTCATTTCAGTTTAACAAAATGAGGCTTTACCTACTGCTATCTGTTACTACTTCCAGCAACACTTTTACAATAAATATAGGGAACCATCATTGAAACATTACTTACTTAGCGAGGAAAAGTGAAGTTATTTACATGTAGCTCACACTAATACAAATGAGGGAGAATGCTATTTCTTTGTAATGGAGTTGAAATTACACAGAATTAAAGAAAAAAAGAAAAAGTGCTTCAGCAATTCATGACTGAATTAACTTTGGTTCAACAAAAACAGTAACTGCATAAATCCCTTGCGCTATGCTGGCAACATGCAGCAACCTGAACTCATAACATAAATCGGAAATTGTGCTGGAGTGAATAATCTGGCCATGCTGTTCCAGAAGAAGCCGCTGTTTGTCTTTGGGTATATCTTGTAAAAAGCTTTATAAGGCCATGGGCAATATGATCTAAATTTGAATCTAGGCTGGCTTTAAGCAGAGGGATGAAACAACCTCCAAATTTTATACTTTCCAATCTAAATTTTTCAAGTATTACAAGGGTCCTCCACATTGTATTACACTACCAAAGTGTTTTGGCCAAAATCCCCCAGCTGGAATGCTAAAAGGTGAGATGTAGGGGAGATCAGGCTCACTCCTTACTCCCAACACCTCATCCCTCCCTAAGGTTAGGAATGTGCAAGGAAGTCTGTGCTGGGAAAAGCTATCCAGTTTGTTCTTTCCTGCCAGATTCCTGTAATAACTCGTACTTCTGGGTCCACTCTCCCAAAGGGAGTACAGATGAGATAAAAATACCTCTCTTCTCTGAAGGAGGAAACATACATAGGTTCAGCTTGACACAAAGGGAAGCACAAGTGATTTTGCTGGCAGAATGGAAGCACTGGGGCAACTGGGAATGCTTCACACAAAGTGTCTGGTAATAAGTGACCCTTGCAAAACACAGTCACTGGACAGCCCAAGGTGCCCTTGCTGTGCCTCAGCACTGGGAGTGGGAAAAGTGGGCACTACCAGCTGCCCCTCCTGAAACTCTCAACCTGAACTCCACAGTGCAGCCTCCAACCCACACGGCTGCCATGCTGAGAGGAAATAAATGGCAGAAGAGCCACAAACCCCTCAAACAGCCCTTAACTGCCATGTGCAATCCTGCAGCTCCAGGTTGGCATGCTGGCAGCAGACCTCACCTCATCAGCTACACTGCTCATGAGAGAAGGAATTCATACCAAGAAGTCTCATTCTTCATCCCCTGTCTACTAGAACTCATATTAACAGCCTTCATCCACATCCATAGGAGCTCCCAGACCTTTTACCTTTGCCCTCAGAAGCAGCAGGCAACTGCTGTAATAGCCTAGACCCTCTCACCCAGCACCAGCACACCCACTTGGTTCCTCACTTTCTCTCTACTTTCTTGAATTGTTATTCAAAAGGGTAACATGAGGGCAACATTCAGAGGCATCCCAGTACCCAGGCACAGTGTTTTTACCCCTACAGGAGTTTTGAGCCCAGGCACATAAAGACAGCCAAAAGCTTTTGGAAAGGAAATGAAGGAAATAAACATTCTGAAGGAAGTCAGAATAAAACTGTTCTGGCTTTGAGTTCCCTTACAGAGTAAAGAATTAACATCCCCAGATAGTTCATTTTTTATGAATGGCAGAATATCCATGTTTCTTTTCACTTTCTATTTTCAGAATTAGGTTACACAGCTACATCTCCTTTACCCTGACACATGTCAGTAGATATGCTGCAAATAATTTAGAGATGTCTTAATTCCATTAACTACAGAGCTTTTGCTTTTTATCATTTAAAGAGTATACTAGCATGACAGTTTCATTTCTTACCCAGCTCACTAAAATGCTGCCAAGAGCATATTAACATAAGCCTCCAAGCACAAACATCATGTGTGGTGCCACTTAAATACCAAGCCAGGCCCTTTCCAAGAGGTTTAATATTCAAACAAAACAGACTTAGAAAGCCAAATAGCTATGAGGCATGCATTAGTTCACCCTATATAGCTTTGTGGCATTTCTCTTCATCATCGCATTATATTAGACTATTCAGCTACTGGATTTTAACCTGGATTGCTGGAGAAATGCTCTACTTAAAAATTATCAAGTCGATCTAATTAAACAGCTTGTTTTCTTCTAAAGTCAATAAAATAGTCTTCAGAGAAGGAACGAATGAAATAATAAACTGTCAGCTGACACATAAATTTCGAGTTCTGACGCAGTAAGGTACCCTCCCACAGACATCTCT